AATCCTTTAACTCATTCTGCATAATTGTCAAGGATAAAATGGCTTCCCCAATAAGAACCACCATACCTACCTGCCTGCCCTTTAAGCCTCGTTGTCTATCCTCGCTCTTCTTGACTAAATAGCAATGCTTTCTCTCACCAAGCACTTACATGCCTATCTGTATATGATAGAAATGTGCCCACTTTTATAATGGGTTGTTTGGATGTGTGCTGATTACCAGAGTAAGTGCAAGTTCAAAAGCTCAGCAGAGTCATGCTTCTCTGCAATTCAGGCTCTGGTGAAGGGTGGCTGAGGGGACACAGCCTGCCCAAACCACCTTTTCACAGGTAGTTCCTCCCTCTGCCTTCCACCATCCCTTTTATTTTCCTTTAATTTCTAAGTCATGCCACTGTTTCCTTCATAACCCTTAATTTGTGGTTTTAAGTTGTTTTCTTCTGTTTTCTCTCTCCCTTGAACCAAATTCTAAAGTTCCGTTAAGATAGCTTGCTTATCATAGTTACAGCAGTATCATAAGAACCTGTTCTACAATGAGGCTTTCAAAAATATTTGCGGATGAATAAGAATGTGTGATAGTGATGACAACAACTACTACACCTAACTATGGTCCTATGATTCTCATTCAAGAACCATTTAGCTTATCTTACAAGGGTACAAGTGAATCTTCCTAAGAGTAGAATATCAACGTTTTAACACAATAACTAAGAAAATGACACGAAGGCTATGTTAACCAGTTTGATGGCAGTGTTTCGGATTGCGTGTGAAAACACCACACTGTATCCCAGAAGTGCATTAATGTACATAGTTATTCAATAAAAATAAATAAAAAGATTGTAAACAAAAATAAATAAATAAATAGGCAAAAAAAAAAAAAAAAAAAGAACCATTTAGTGAACAGCTCCATCTTTCCAGCCTTTCTAGTTTTCTTCCAGACATTTGGATCACAAAATGGACATGGAAAGCATGAGATTATCTTGCTGTCAAAGAACTTATTTTCTCGCTTAAAATGCAGGCATGTCTGCAATAACTTGAGCGCCACACAAAACAGTGCATGCACCTGTCCATGACCTCATGTTCTGTGTGTAGTACTACCACTTTTACTGTACTTAGTTCTTTGAAGGATTAAAAAATATATAACACATTGTACCTTCTTCAAGGAACTCATAATTTGTTTGGGGAGCCATGATAAACCAATATAAGGAATCATAAAATACAACATAAAGACTATATAATTCATCATCAAATAATGCTATGGTGAACAAATATTATTTGATCCTTTATTTTTCCTCTGAGACTCAGTTTTCTTTTTCGTAACAGAAGCATTGGAAGGATCAAAGCAGAAATTATATGAATATTTCCTGTAAGATGTAGATCACATTAGCAATCCAACACAATAGTACTATTAAAATCTTCCCCAAGCATAGCAAAATAAGTAAGAACACTCCATTCAGAAGACACAAACTGGCATTGATAGAATGTATCAAAGAATTTAACTTTGGTTTTTCATTAGTCCTACTTAACTGTTATATTCATAAATACAAAGGAAACCCTTTATCACAGTTATAGAATTGAGGAGTATTTCTTGGCCAAGAATGCCTTTACTTGAGGCTCACACATTCTATTCAGATAAGCAGGTATTAACTATTACTTAGCACTGCAATCTCATGGTGAAAAATGCAGATTCCTTTCCTGAAAAAAATATGTGCCTTAAAAAAGAGGTAAACAAATCATAACATCTTACAAAGCAAAATGAAATCTGTCTTCTCTGATGCTAACGGGAAGACACTGAGAGTTCCACAAATCAAAATATAAAACTGCTTTGTATCTGTGTTTATCGGATACCTATGGCCAAACTTCCATTGCACAGGGGAGAATTTCACCTTCAACTTTCCTCATTTCTATACCCCTTGAAATATTTGAACGTTTACATAGCTTTTCTCTGGACTATGCACAGTCCATTATACAGTGTCTCTCTTGTCTTCTATATAGAGACTCTCCCTGCATAGTAACCTGTAGGGAATGTCAGCTCCACACCCTAAAACCATTGTTATAGAGGAGTACCATGAGTTTCAGCATGAAAAAATTGTTGAAATTGAACAAACAGGAAATAGATTAGTGGATGCTAGATGTCAGGATGGGATAAAGGAGACAGATGTGACTATAAATGCAACAGGAGGAATCTTTGGGGTGGAACTAACTGTTCTGTGCCTGGATTGCATCGATGTCAATATCTGGGTTGTAACAACTGCATGAGAATCTGTGATTATCTCAAAAGAAAACATTTAATTAGAAAGTGATAGTAACATTACACCAATTGAATACGAAAATCCATTAAGTTTCATGCTGGCATGAATGAATGAATGAATGAATGGGAGATGATGAAGCTTTTTCTCACAGAAGATTACTAACTAGTAAATTTTAAAGTTAAATATTAGAATTTCATCATTTGACAGCCATCAGAATTAACTCACCCAAGAAGTATCAATGGATGCTAAAACTAGACATTAAACTTTGATGAGGAATAGGATATTTACAGTTTCAAGCCACCTCTCTACAAGATGCTTATCAGACACAGTAGAGAAAACTCACAGATCACTTTTTTTTTTTTTTTTCTTTTGATGCAGAGTCTCCCTCTGTTGCCTGTCTAGAGTGCAATGGTGTCATCATTGCTCACAGCAACTTCAAACTTCTGGGCTCAAGTGATCCTTTTGCCTGAGACTCCCTACTAGCTGGAACTACAGGCACGTGCCAGCCAGTATGTCCAGCTACTTTTGCAGTTTTTGTAGAAATGGGGTCTCACTCTTGCTCAGGCACCACCTTAATCACACAAAGTTAACATCACAGTAACAGAACAAACCAACATGATGTTGGTTTGATAGGATGAAGTGAGAGGTCCACAGCTGAACTTCAGCCTTATTTCTCAAACTAAGAAATACAAAGACACAGCAGACAAACCCACACTGAGGTAGTCTACAAAATGACTGCCCTATGATCTTAAGTGACAAGAAGACTGAGGGATAGCTCAAGATTAAAGACTGAAGAGTTATGATAGCTGAATACAGCCAGCTATCCTGGACCGGATTATTTTGCTATAATCAATGCTATTTGAGAAATTGATGAAGCTTAAATGGGGTCCGTGAATTAAGTGGGAACATACGTGTTAGTGTTAATTTCCTGATTCTAATGATTTCATCAAGATTATGAAAGAGAACCTCCCCCTCTGTAGGTGTTATGTACTTAAACCAATCAGGGGTGACAGGGCATCAGTCACAACTTACAAATGGTTTAGGAAAAATCTTCTGTAACATTGGTAAACTTTTCCATAAGCTTGAGATTGTTTCAAAATAAAAATTATCATTAGTACAAAAAATTTGAGAACTTTCACTACAGGTTACAGTTAAAGAGATTTTTGTGCCCAAGTGCTCCTTCTTCCTCTTCTAAAAAATATCCAGTTAAATGAGGATACCGTGATTGAACATGAAATCTTCTGAATCAAGGGTTGGCAAACTTTTTCTGAAAAGGGCCAGATATTAAATATTTTAGACTCTGAGAGCCATACCATCTCTATTGCAATTTCTCCATCCTGCCATAATAGTATGAGCAGCCAGACAATACATAAACTCCTGAGTTTATTGGAATTATATTCCAAAAAAAAAAAAACTTTGGATGCTAAAATTTAACTGTTATATGATTTTCATGCATCACAGATTTTTTTTTCTTAGCCATTTAAAAATGTTCAACCTGTTAACATACAAAATTACGTGGATTTGGTCAATGAGACTTAGTCTGACAATTGTGCTTTATGTTTCCAAATGGCCATTATATGCTATGTTGTTAAACAGATGATTAGCAAATTATCATGAACATGAGTTTTATAACTTTAAGAAGAATTTGCTGCATACCTTTCCAAGATAGAGGTGAATGATTGCTAGTGCATGAACGGACACCACTTGAGGTGGTCACAGCACACTGCCTGTTAATTGAATACATTTCTTCCGTCAGATGGTGCCTAAGTCCAACCCATTCATGAACCGTCCCAGCTTAACCCAGAAATAAACCCTGATTCTTATGAGAGCTTGAGATGAGGGGAAGCTCACTTGTTATTAAAAGATAAGTCATTTGTTTCCAAAGGAATTTTCATAAAAATGTTCTGCTTACTTTGGTATAGCGGGGGGACCTGATTTATGAAGTGTTTCTACAGTTTTTATCTAGCACGTGTGCACTCTAGTTTTAATGTGAAGAGCTAGACACATAATAGAATTATTTCAGAAGAAACTACTGGAATAAATTAGAAGGGAGATGAGTGGTGGAACTCAAAGTGATAGTTAATTGGGAAGGAGAAAGGGAAGACTAATAGACTTATTAATTGTATAATATTAGCTAAAGTTTTGAGTCCAGGAAATTACGGTTTTGCTAAAAAAAGGGGGGGGAGTTTGGAAACATTTGATTTCTAACAATCTTATATCCACCTACATTTAAAGGTTCTCTCCCCAATACATATGGGGACATTTACTTTAATATTTTATCTTTTTCCAATACCTCCCCAATATCCTAGAAAGATAATTGGCACATAATTAGCTAATAGAGACCACTTTTATCTTGTTAGTTATTAAGCCCATAAGCAGAAAGACCACTCTGACTTTATAAACTCCCAGTGATAGTTTTTTATAAAATTGCTGAAGTTTTTATAAAATCACGGTTTTTGTTTTTTCAAAAAGAAAGTCAACTCTAGTTACCCTGTTGAGGAAAAGCATAGTCCTAACACATTCTCACACGTTCGTGGGACATCAGCCATCATCTTTGGGACGCGGGAAAGACTTGTTAGTCAAACTGAAAAAAAGCAGTTCTGGGCTGAAAGACATCTGTGTGATTTCTCCACCTCAGAGTTTAGCAGTAAAATAAATAAGTAAGGTACGCAGAGAAATAAAAGAGGTCACGGGGTAAAGCACCACGCAACACAAGCCAGAAGGCCCTGGAACAAGGGAAACACCACTGATCACGCATTACCAAACACTGATTGCAAAGGATTTATTAAGGTCCAATTAGTATGCTTTCAGTTTCAAATAATCCATATCTCCTCCAGAAAATATTCACAGAAACAAAAGTCCAAGTTCATTTCCTTGACTTACAATATAAAATGTTCCGTATTTTGTATAAAGTATGTGCAAACACATTTCTGCTAACCGGTTCCCCACGTTCCTTTCACTGTGGGTATTTTACAAGTCTGCCCTCTGCTCAAAGGCCGACCGTGCCCTGACTTCCTCCTTCCTAGACAGCCATTCATCTTCTGGACTTCTTTCTCTCAGACATCCTCCCGACCTCCGCCTACCTGCTTTGTGACTGTGCTACTTCACTGGTTCGTTCTTACAGCAAACTGATGCCATTACTACTTTACCTGGACAATGCATTATTAGATAGGTATCACCTAATGTGGAGGCATCTATCGGGGTGATTCCTGGGGAATACACAGCAGCCAGTCATATACTGCCACGCTCCGCCCATTTGCTATAGAAAGGCCTTGAGCTATTTAACATGACACTTCTTTATTCACTTCGCATGTTTGATCTCTTTGCATTTTCCTCAATTCTACATTGCAGGTGTGGTTACTAGGAGCTGGGTAACTAGTTTCTCAAACAAAATGTGGATTTGCTACATAATTAGGATACCTTTGTTATTTTGACAGGTGACTATTTCTATCCCATCTTGTTATAGGAATAAGTCACTCTCCACTAAAGTAACCACCACATTTCTTTTGCACAAAGGCAATGTAACTGGGTCTTCACAATTGCCACCCACGCAGTGCAAAAGCGGTAAATCCCTTTTTATGAAAGGCAAAAGTGTATTCAGACATTTCACATTAAAAAAAAAATTCCTTCATGGGAATATGTTCTAGGTAAATAATTATAAAGACAAAATTTTATGTACATGAAATTTTTGCAACTTTATAATAGTGAAAATTTCAAATAACCTAAATAGTCAACAATATGGGGATGGTTAAATAAACTGAGCTGCATCCATTAAATGGAGTATAACATAGCCATTAAAATTATGTTTTTGTAAAATTTTTAATGCCATAGGAAAACATGGCAATTCTGCAATGAAAAAAAAAAAATCTAGTTAGAAAACTGTTTACAATATGAGCCCAATTATGTTAAACGTATATAAGACACATATAGACATATATGGGGGGAGTTATTACAGGCGGTTACTTCTGGGTTGTGATTATCAGTAACCATTTTTGCTTGTTTACACATCTCTGCATTTTTCAAGTTTTCTATATTGAGTATGTATTATTCCATAGTTCAGAAAAACAGACTATAAAAAAAACTTCCACTGACATACAGGTAAATTAGAATGCCTGTGGGTATTTTAAATACGCGGGGAACACTATTACGGGGCTTCATTTTCTATGACTTTTGGGGAATACATATTCTTTCGGTAATAAACTTACATTCCCTGTCTTACACCTGTTAGAACACTTTAATAAAAGGTTAATATTGTAGTTAGAGCATTGTTTGCTTCAAAACCTAAACAAATACTGACTTTGAAATCTAGGTTCTTCCATTTCCTAGAAGATTTTAAATTAGTATCCTTTTCACCTTTTTAAGTCAGGCATCCCGCACACACACATTATATGCATGCTTCCTAAATGAAATAATTCTAATTTAGTTTCCCTAAGGGAAAAAAAATGGAATTACGGTAGTTTATTATAAACAGTCTATAGTCTTATCCATCACAAACATACTGATAGGCATAAACATGTTTATTAAGTGAAATGTATCCTTTAAAAACAAAAAGGCCTGTAGTAAATGAAGTTGTGGATTCAACTAGCCAAGAGTTTATCCTGACTTGCACCAAACCACACAAAATCTTTTTTAACCTTTAGTTAGTACAGTCTAAATGGACACTCCGGAGTCTATTCTTGAATTCCATCGTAAGAACTCCACTTTCTACTTTCAGAAGGAGTGGGGATCAAGATGAGGGGTGTCACATAAGCTAATTTTCAATACATATCAAGTCTCGAGGGGGCTAGGAACAAATACTGTCATTGGTTAGTGTTTAAGTACATGAGTCTATTTCCCTCCTTTCACACCCCACATTGCCCTGGCAATTGGGTAGGGGGAGGCTGTTCATCCTTTAACAGAGGTTGGCTGGCTCCTCCTCTTAGTTTCCTTTCTAAACCACGGAGTGGTCATTGCTGTGGACTCCAGCCAAGATGGTGTGGTTGAGGGAGGAAGCTGAGCGGTCTGAGCCTTCCGCGGGGCCGCTGGGGTTCTCACTGCGCTGGCAGCAGAGGATCTGCCTGAAGGTGGCGCTCATCTCTTTGTCGCGGTAGGAGTAAATGATGGGGTTCATGGCAGAGTTGAATTCCGCAAGGAGTAGGAAAAACTTCTCATAGGCCAGAACATTACACTGGGGACAGCACACGTCTAGCAGTAACAAAACCAATCCAGGCGTCCAGCAGATGATAAAGGCACCTACGAGGACAAGGATAGGAAGGATTTAAAAGAAGAGAATGAGAAAATAACATTATGAAACATGCAGCCAGAAGTGAAAGGATTTCCATTTCAACATAAAAATACTGAGATCGGAAGCCACCAATCATTGCAAATGAAACATTCACTTTCTAAAATAATCAGAAAAAAAATAACAATAATCAATGTAGTAAAATTTCATTATTGGAAGTCCTACTAAAACAGAGTATTTATGAAGCATTGATGATTATTTTGAACGAAACAAAGAGTTTGACAAGCACTGGGATGGGAAATACTGATGCAGGATACACACGTGGGTTTTAAGAACAAAGGTTGTTTTGAAACAAAAGATAAGCACTAAAGATAAATGTCCTTTAGTATCTAGTTAAGGCACAGTTTCTGGATTCCGGTTGCCTGGGCTCAAATCCTTGCTTTGTCATTTGATAAAATGTGTGAACTTAGGAAAATTATTTTCTTACCTCAGATTGCTCATCTGAAAAACAGATGAAAGTTTTTTTGGAAGGATTAAATGAGTGCTAAGAAAATAATCACTCAGTACATATTAACGGTAATAATAAGTTATTACCTGCTCAGTGGCATGGGTCTGTTTGAATAATTTACAATGATAAGATATATATTTTATTTCTATTAACCAATCACCTATGTAGTGTTTTTCTATATGCTTTATCAACAACTAATTTAATCTTAATAGCCATGTGACATTAAAAACTAATATCCCCATTGTGTAGATAAAGAAACTGAGACCCAGAGGTTTAAATAACTTGCTCAAGCCCGTGGTACTGACAAGTGGCAGGTGGGAGAGAAATCCCAGGATTTTTGCTCTTAGATGCTAGCTCCGGAGTCCAAGATCCAGGGAATGTTACATTAGATTTCCATTCTTGAAACTAAAAAATATTTTAAACCAAATTTTATGCTTCAGATGTTTTACTAGTTTAGATCAACTTTGTTCTCTTTCTTCCCCCAACTATTTTGAATCATTAAGATTTACTATGTACGCAACAGTAAGAAGAACGGAAATATAGATTCTTAATTCCATTTTATGTAGTTCCTAAAATCACTCCTCATTTGGATCCCAGGAAAAAGGGAGGTTGCAGAATAGCATTCAAACTTATCCCTGTGTTTCCCCAGGACCTCCTGGGAGTCTCCCACAGAAAGAACACGAGCGAGAGGAGTGGTGGGCATCACCATGCCCCTTCATGCTACACCTAATGCGCCCTATACATATAATCAAGCCAGGTAACAAGCAGAGGGGGAACGGGTGACCCAAGAAGTGCGCTTGAATCCCCAGAGTTCAGTGGCACTGGTCTTGGTGGACACAGGTTTCAACCGGGGTCATGGATTTGGACTGGCTTCAAGGAATGAGATTCACAAAATGTAAACAAATGAAATTTAGTCTCCAAACAGCCCACTTTGGGATGTGAGCTTTCTTTTTTGAAACGTTTCAGCAGGGAAACGAAAATAAAGGAGAAAAGTACCCCCATAAAGCTCTTTGTTCTACAACTCCAACGTGTATTGGTTTTAAACTGCTGTTCACTTTGAAGACTGTCCAAGGTACTTCATTTTCTAATAAATACAATACCTTAGATTTTCCTAAGAGAGAAAAAAGATATTTCAAATATCAGGAGATAATAGCCAAAGAGCTATTTGAACTTCAATAAAAATGTTAATACAGCATTCATCCCAAGTCCTTGAATTTCCTTGCTTGAAAATCACTCAGAAAGCTAAACATAAAGGAAAATCAAAGGAATGCCTCTTGGGTTTCAGAAATAATGCATTATTCATCGAGAAGCCAGGAAGGGAATTATTCTCAGGATGGAAAATGCTTGGATGGAAAATGCATGGTTCCATTATTCCATTTACTTGGAAACTAAAAACACACAGGCCCTTCATGAATGAGAGAGCATTCTTTCAAGTTTCTTTCCCCCTTTCTTTTATCAAAGCTCTAATTGAGCTCAAATTCAGAGCTTGATTAGATACCAGTAACATGCATCTCAATAGATAGATTTTAAATAAAATGATCTTTTTCTCCTTCCAGGCAGCAGAAGGAAGTATCTTTATCCTCATGTTCTTGTTCATGCTGCTTGACTTGGTTCACAAATGAAAGGATTCAAAGACACTCATTGGTTGTTCATAATTACTTCCAATGTTAAAATTCAAAAAGAGCAAGATCTTTCCAAAAAGAGCCCATGAACCTTATTTTCTGATCAAAAATTGCAAGGAACCCTGGTAGGCTGCAGACAGGAAGTGGGAAGCACCACAGTCTGACATAGGAGCTAATATATGTGGACACTTTATTGAGGAACCCAGAGTCCTCTCCCTTCCTCTTCAATGAAAGGGACTGGCTTTTTCTAGTACTATGATTAGTACTATGATTAGGCCCAGTCACACAGTCCCTGCACTGTGCTTGGATCTTCAAGACTCAATCCAAGTTAAATTTTCATAGAGGTGTCAAGGATCAAGCTGACTATAAGATGAGAGGTACCACAGAGAGGGGAGAGTGAGCCCTGGAAAATCTTAGGGTGATGGAGGCTCCTAACCCAGTGAACGAATATATTCTGAAATCAAGTGCTCAACTTGTGGATTTCCTCCTGAGCTTCTAAAGACAAAAATAAACCACACTCAAAACCCTTCAATAATAAGTATAATACAATCAGAAGCATAATTCAATCAAGCTATAGGGCTTGAGATGTGCACATAACCTGTAGAGAGTTGCGTGTACACCTGCAAGGCATACTGATCAGAATTTACCAACCCCCCCACAAAAAAACTTCTATCTCAGCATCTATAAAATGGAGAAGTAACAGCTCCCTTCCTTCTTCATGGTCACAGTGAGGATTAAATTGAGATATGACTTATAAAAGCCCTCTATAAACTGCACATCTACCTGACTATCACCGACTCATGAAGGCTGGTATAGCACAGCTCTTAGACAGGCTCTTGCGGGGCAGAAGATGAAGGCATGTTTTAGATGGTGAAGACCTAGCATGTCCTAAAGCCCAGAGATGATACCATCCTGACCATAAGAGAGGTCTAGAATTTGCAGTTGGGTATGAGGAGGACAAGGCAACAAGGAGGAAAAGAGAGAGAGAACAGAGGGAAGCAGGGAGGCCCCAAATCATTTTGGAGGTTCTTGTGGGTCAACTCAACACTTAGCAAGATGGAGACCATTAAGTGGTACTCAGCAGGGCTTGGGTCTTATTTCTAGCACATTTCTGATGGAGGAATCCCCACAGACCAAGGCTCAACACCAAGAGATGGCAGGCAACAGTGTGGAAGGACAAGAAAGTAAAAGTTGTTTATGGTTAAAGTGAAAGAAGTAGCAGACGGTAACGTGCCCAGGTCTCAAAAGTCTTGTACATCTGGCTAAGACATTTGAAATTTGTCCAGTCCAATATTAGCTCTCAACCCTAGACACACATATAAGAGCTTGTAGAGGTTATAAAAATTAATGATCTTAAAAAAAATTAATCATCTTTCAGCCAGTTTGAATCTTGCAAAAAGAAACAATGATCTTCACCTACCTCTCCTCCCATGAGATTTTAGTTTCATTGGCCTTACTGGTCAGATTTTCACTTAAGATACGACACTGGTACGACCAAAAATTGCATTACAACAAAGACATTTGTATCAGAATGTTTATTGCAGCCCAATTCATAATTGCCAGGTCATGGAAGACGCCCAAGTGCCCATTGATCCACGAATGGATCAACAAACTGTGGTATATGTACACTATGGAATACTATGCAGCCATTAAGAAGGATGGAGACTTTACGTCCCTCATGTTCACATGGATGGAGCTGGAGATTGTTCTTCTGAGCAAAGTATCACAAGAATGGAAGAAAAAGTATCCAATGTACACACCTCTATTATGAAACTAATTTATACCTTTTATATGAAAGCTATAACCTAATAACAGCCTAAGAATATGGGGGGGAGGGAGAAGGGAGGGGGGAATGGATGGAGGGAGGGGGATTGGAGGGATCACTTCTGAGGTTTATCTTACAAGGGTACAAGTGAATCTTTCTAAGAGTAGAATGTGAGCATTTTAAAACAATAACTAAGAAGAAAATGACATGAAGGCTGTGTTAAACAGTTTGATGGAAGCGTTTCGGATTGTGTGTGAAAACCCCACACTGTACCCCAGAAGTGCATTAATGTACATAGTTACCATTCAATAAAAAAAAAAAGATATGACACTGGTGACAGAAGAAACTAATCAAGGCAAAATATCCGCTATTTCCAAATTCCAGAACAGAAATCATAAAAGCTAGAATCAGGATGAGAGGCATGGGGAAAAAGATGCGGAAGGACTGGCAAACACATTTAGGATTCAGAGTCCACGAGATGGATGAGAAAGATTAAAGAGTCAGTGACTCCTAGATTTTCAATCTGGGTAGGGAAAGGTAGTGGTACTTTTTGGTGAGAAAGGAAACACAGAAGAAAGTGTTAAATGGTGTTTTTGTTAGGGGAAGTGAAGAGAAGAGAGTGGATGATCTCAGTTCTGTATGTGTTTAGCTTGAGGTACCAACAAGACATCAGACGGAGAGGCCTAGATAGCGTGATAGGTGCATGGCAGTTTGAATCTGGGGAACAGTCTCTCACTGTGTTGAACCAAAGTGGTTACGTTCTGCCTGATTTGCCAGCATTGCAAGTAACATGGGGAGGAGGGTATTCAAGACATATCTGTGGGTTGCTCTTCCTTGAACAAGCTTCACTCCTCCCGTCTACATCTGTCAAAGCAATCTATGACGGCTCCGATGGCCACAAAAATGGAGGGAGAGGTGCTGGAATGCAGATGTGAAAGGCAGAAAGGAATGAGGCTGCTTGGGAACAACAGGTCACAGCTGCACACAGAGATCATATTACCACACCTTCCCTCAAACCTACACAACCCCATCAGCTGAATAATGCTTACCATCTGGTCTCACAATTAGGGCCTTTCTTTTAGAATGACTTTTGCTTAACTAGCCGAACTCTGCTTA